TGTTTCACAGGTGCAGACACTCCTGCAACAGATGCAAGATAAATTTCAGACCATGTCCGACCAGATCATTGGAAGAAATATCCTTTATTTGTAGTCAGTCTCTGATGGGCCTTTGGATCCCAGTTTCCGGATGGTGGTGGCGATAAGTGGGTGGTTTGCCGGTCAACTTCCACTAGTCATTTACCAGATTTTTTTTTTTAATTTTTTACTGAGCTTAGATGCACACTTCCTGAGAAGTACTGTGCAAAGAGCTGGGCTTACAGCTGAGCTAGATCCCTGGCTGTGAGGAACTTATGGTCTACCGGTAATGCTGCCTAGTATGATTGACTGTTGACTGTGAGCGAAGCATTTCATGTGTATCTCACCTGTGATCCTCACCATCACCTGATGGCGTTACCTTTGTGTAGCGGATGAGGAACCAGGAAGCTTAGAAAAATGAAAGAACTTGCCCAGGTCCCATCACTAGTAAAGGGCAGGGCTGGGATTTGATCCTCACCCCGGACTCCCGTGCTCTGAACCAGATTCTAACAGTATCCAAAGGAAATTGGAAAACCACTTTCATGAAGACACTGTGTTGAAGGTTGTAGTCTGCAGGGCCCTGGAGGAGAGGGGTAAGAAGTGGAAGCTGTTGGTGCCGTCTTTAACTTCCCCACTTGATGACATGAGCAGTCGCATTGATGACCTGGAGAAAAACATCGCAGACCTCATGACACAGGCCGGGGTGGAAGAGCTGGACGGGGAAAACAAGATCCCTGCCACACAGAAGAGTTGAAGGTGAGGGGAGCGAGGGACAGTAGAAGTGTGGTGCATGTCCCTGTGATTTTGATGTAGTCGGACTTTCTCTGGATCTGTCCCCAGCCAGGATCTAGCAAGCGTCCCTTGTATTGTTCCCCTTGTGGACTACAGGCTTTGAATTTTTCATGCCAAACTAATTCCTTATGAAGAATTTATTTTCCCTGTTTTTATCAATGAGACCTAGATCTCTAGTTAAGACCATTAGTTAATATTAGATAACCCCTGAGTTTATATCATTACAGCGAAAACAAAGAAGTGTATTTTGTTGGCCTGATAATTCTTATCACTGGCAGATTTTCCAATGGTTTGTTTTGTTTTGTTTCTTAAAGAGAATACGCACATTGCCACCTTCATAAATGCCATAAGTTCTAAGGATGCTCTTGGGAACACCCCCTGCACTAGGTGAATGCCAGGACAATGACTGATTATGATTTAGATGACCTAGGTTGTGGCCACGTTAAGCCTTCGCCCTAGAGTTGATTTGTTTTTCCATTGCATAGTTACAGGTATCAGGAGAGACTAATAATCAGAAATATCCGTTACAGCAAGATAGCTAGACGCACAGATGACTGCCATGTTCTCACCATAGTGGGTTCCTTCATGACAAGCCTTTTCCTGAGTGTGGCGGTTACTTCATTGCAACCCACAGTAGTTTTTGATCTCCCTTTGTTCCCATCCCGTTTTTAGCATTTTAATTCCCTATAAAAATAAAGGTTACTGTGAATGTTTAGGTAGCAAAATACACAGTAAAAGACACCAAATTCCTTTTTTATTTTCTGAGCACGTCCTGGCTGGACCAAATGATAGGTAACTATGAAGTACGGGTTGCTTTGAAGTCCGAGGAAATAAGTAGAGGTTCAGGAGGTAAGGGACTTAAATTTACTATTATCTTCACAGTAGATTGGGTTGATGCAGTATGTTAGTAAATCATGTAGTTGTTTTGTGTGGTTGTCACCTTGATTCCTTATAGACTTGGGCAATGTCCTGCCAGTCTTAGGAGCGTCTCTGGGTCTCATATCGTGCGGCATTCAAAAGCCCCATCAAGTGAAAGAGAACAGATTGAAGAATTTCTCGAGTGACGGGCATAATGCAAGGAAAGGAGTGGGAGTAGAAAACAAATGCACAATAATCTTTTTAATGAAGATTTTCATTTTAGTTTTGCTAGGATATTGTGCAGAGAAAGTACAATTAATTCAAACGAGGATTGTGAAAGGATTTTTAGTTGCTAATTCTGTGTATTCTTTTTATGTGTCCTTACAGAATGAATAGCACATTGATGGATTTTGCTTTTTCAACAGGTTGCTCATCTGCACTGGAATCTGGAACACCCTTTTTACAAGCCAAGAGAAGACAGATGGCTTTTTGCAACTAACTACTATGTGTAGACAGGTTTTATATTATAAAGTGTGCATTCTTCTTACCACATACTATAGAGTTAGTTTATAGAGTGATTTCCCTCCCCTGCCTCCCATGTTTCCTGAACATGGTGAATTCACGTCTTGGGCCTTGGTCAGTTGTGCTATTAAACACTAAAACTTTGGCAGTTCCTGCATACAATTGTCAAATTTTTTAGTGTATTCTTGTGAAGTCACTTTTTTTCTATCATTCCCTTTGTAGTAGTTGCTGTTTGATAAAAGTTGCTGTGTAATTTTTTATTAGACATAGGGTAGATCCTTGGTTATAATAAGATTTTTGTGAAGTAAGGCATTTATAGTTAAGGTTCTTTGATTCTCAGAGTGACTGATGAGTGAACACCAAATAGTGTGTTGGCGATACTTTCCAAGTGGTTAAAAACATTTAAAAGTGTGTATTCAGAAACATCTGGCACTACTCTGTCGCCAAAACTCGGAATGGAACGATGGTTTTATGCCTGAGTTCTTGAGGTCAGATGCTACAGTAACAAAGAGTGATCACGGCCACTTTAGTGTTAGAATGTTTAAATATGGACAGTGACAGAGTTGCCCGATGTGGTGAGGCTTTCAGCAGTTAGAGTTTTGCATGAGGTTTGAACCTTCAGTAGGACCCTACCTTGTCCATCTATAGCAGTTACCATAGGAAATCTGGCAGGACTTTACAGCTAAGCTACTCCATCTTTTGAGCTACTGGCTGGGAAAAGAAACAGAAAAGGAAAACAGACCACGTTAAGTCCGTGCCTACTAAATAACTAGTTGTAGGCTTGAGTTTTTAAGAAATAGTTTCTTTAAACTGTTTCTTACCTAAATTCGAGCAGAGTAGTGGCTTTATTGCTGATAATGGGAGACAGGGAAAGTAACTCCTGTGGCTCAGCCTGCAGTGTCAGGAGTGCTGAGCCCCAAGGCAGTGTTGATGGGAAGGAGACCCACGCGGCTGTCGCAGCAGGATGATTTTGTATAGAGAATATGGAAGAAGTTGGGGAATGGAACAGTGCTTTGGAGAGGGAAACCCGTAGTCAACACAGTGTGATTTTTTTCAAGTTTCCTATGTCACTAGTCTTAATTGTTTGAATTGCAAATATATAATAATATTAAGGAATAATTTGTCCTATTTATAAATTATATGGGGAACACAGAGGAGTCGATTTCTTCTGGGATAAAATGAATTCCCCACTGTTATCACCGAGCCGCAGAAACTCCCTCACTGGGCCGGTAGGTCGCAAGGTGTGGCCCTGAAAGCCCAGAGCCAGCTGGACTCAGGGACTGGATGGAACCGCGTGCAAGATGCTTCCAAGCCTGGGAAATGGCAAGTGGACAGTCGGGATGTAAGCAGTTGGCTTCCTTAAGTAACAGGAATGTTTCCCCTGACCAAAAATACCTGCCATGAATAAAGGTGCCTGAAATCCTGCTGTTGACGCTTCCTTTGTGTCAAAAATGATTGGTTTGGTTTTCTGCATTTTGATACCATTTCAGATGATCGGCTAGAAGCTCTGGAAGGATTCAGTACCCATAGCCAAAGTGGGGCCGGGAGGCGCGGGGGAGACTGGTGCCGCAAGGGAAGGCGAGGAGTGTGGCAGCCTCGGGCTGCAGGGCTCACCGGCCAGAGCGAAGGAGAGCGACGCCCTCCGGGGTCCCCAGGGAAACTTCACGAGTGTGCTCCCCGGGACACTCGTCCCTGAGAAGCTCCAGCAGAGAAGGGTTTGTGCTCACTTGCGGGTAGCATCTTCCCGGCTCATGTGATTCACCTGATGAAAATTCGCCACGTAAATTAGCTCAGGAGAGGCCCTGAGCCCCCAGAGCAGAAACGGGATTGAACTCCTCTGCCAGTTTCCAAGTTACTTAACCAAGGATTTTTTTTTTAATACTTGGCATTTAATTAACATTTCATAGAACCTGCAGGTGGTGTGAAACACACGTGGGGAGATAGCGGTTAAAGGAATCCAATAAATAGCTCCGGGTTCACTTTATAAACAGTCGCTTCACGTTCCCCAGCCTCCAGGTAAGGCTTCAGCCTGGGCTGGGGTGCCTCCACATTGTACAGAAGGATGCTTTTCCTCACACGGTCCCTGTGAAGTGCAAAGTGCAACACACCTGCTAAGTTACGGGCCTGATCGCCCATAGTCGGGTGCTCAGGCCACAGCCTCCTGGGCCCGAGGCACAGCTCTTTCCCCTCCAGCCCGCCCCGGCGACCAGGGTTCCAGGCACCCTCCCTGTCCTGGAGCCTCTGCTCCGTGAAGGCTTCTAGCATGGTCAGCATGGCCCCTGTCTAGTTCCAGGCATAATCTTTGGGTGCAGGAAAATCTGTCTGCCTCTCTTATTCTCCAACTATTTTTTGTTCATTTACAGGCCCATGAAGTTCCTACTCAGCTAAGAAATACAGCTAGCATGGAGTTGTTTGCAGCAAGCAAAACAGCCTTAGGTTTGACTAAATGCCCTCTTTTTCCAAGCCCGGAGGCCCCATCAGCTTCCTCATTTGGCCTCTAGTTAATCCTGCTTTCATTCAAGCCACAGGATTTTTAATTTTTTTTTAATTAATTAATTTATTTATTTGGCTGCATAGGGTCTTTGTTGCTGTGTGCGGGCTTTCTCTAGTTGCGGCGAGTGGGGGCTACTCTTCGTTGCGTTGCGTGGGCTTCTCACTGCGGTGGCCTCTCTTGCTGCAGAGCACCACTCTAGGTGAATGGGCTCAGTAGTTGTGGCTCGTGGGCTCTAGAGCGCAGGCTCAGTAGTTGTGGTGCACGGGCCCAGTTGCTCCGCGGCATGTGGGATCCTCCCAGACCCGGGCCCGAACCCATGTCCCCTGCATCGGCAGGTGGACTTTCAACCACTGTGCCACCAGGGAAGCCCTTAAATGTTTTAATATTTTATCAATTTATTTTTTCTGCTGTTTCATTTCTGAAGTGCCATTGTGTTTGAAACTTACCAGAACAAACATACAGTACTTCAGGCGACTGAAGGTTCATCTGCCTTACTGAGTCCTTGGAGCCCTTAGCCGCACTTAGAGCATCGTTGCTGTGGGGACAGAGAGTGCAACAAACAACTTACAATGAACTTTTTAAAGTTCTGTTTGTAAATTGAAGGTTTCCTGTATGGATAACTATGTTCCCTTTTTTTATTCTGTAGTTCAAATATTTTAATCAGATTAAAGTGGAGGAGTTTTCACAGTATGTTGTCAGATGTAACCCTGACAATTAACTGGCAACAGTTAATGATTAGTGACAGCCACCAGCACCTATGAAAGCGTCTATCGTAAACCACCGTGCTGTGCAAGCATGTTGTTTACGTCATTTGGCTTCATCTCTTGACAACCCTGAGTTCAGTTTTTATCTGATCAGCCCATTTTAAACAGAAGGAACCCAATGCCGGGCAACGGTTGACTGAGGTCACACAGCTGGAAGCAGGGACCATGGAATCGCCACCCACAGCTGTCCACCCAGGTAAGATTTCCAAGTATTCATGGCCGGGCTGCCTGGCACTCAACAACCCAGCTCTTGAAGTTCAGTTTCAAAAGAGGCTAATTTTGCACTTTCAGTTAAACGTGACCTAAATTATATAATAAACGTGCTTGATGTGAATTTTTATTCAGAATTCAAAGTATTCAGGGCTGCTAGAAATGTGCTGGACCAGCATTTTTAAGTTCTTTGAGAACAACTACAGAAACAAATCCAGTCCAGTTTCTCACAATGTTTGCCTTGATGAACCGCAGGGAATACTGGCTGCTGATTTTTAGCTGTTTCCCTGCTAACACCCATGAGTACAGAGGTCTTAAAAAGGTGCCTTTGCGGCCATCACCTGGAACCTTGGTCTCCTGCTAATGATGTTAAGCGTCAGCCTTTAGCTGCGGCCTCTTTAAAACTCTCCATGAATGCAAAGGGGGTGGAGGGTAGGAGCAGGGGACGTGAGTCACTGACTAAAAGCAAAAACCAGAGGGGCTGTGACAGAGCATCACGCTCACCGACCTCACAGATCACTCTGGAAATAGGAAAGGAGTTTGTTGCTACAAGTCAGGTCGACCTGCTAGGAAAGAATCAGTTCCAGTGCTTGGCCCTCACACGCTGAGGCTTCCACCAAGAGAGGTGCCTGGAAGCTCCTCGGACACCTGCCGAGGACGAGCTCTAGATCCAATAGACACAGAACACCTGCGTCCGCGGGACCCTGGTGATGCTGGGGAAATGGAACGTTCTGTGGCTCCCTCCTTGAGCAAGGCCGAGTGCGTTCACGTGCACGTACATAAACTACATACAGGTCACAGGGATGCTGTGCTGCTTCGCGGTGATCATCTTGGCTGTATATTTCTACTTTCCTACTTTGTGGACATCTTTTGACCAATGATTCATATTGATCACGGGCAGAACGTCTGCCTTTCAAAAGGAACAGTATCATTTCCCAACAGTTAAGAATTCAGGATGGAGCAGTTTGGAAGCACTCTGCTGCAAAGGGGGCTGTAATGTCTCACCAGGGAGGGCAGCCCCAGGGAGAGTGAATTCCACACCCACAGGGCCATCGAGGACCCAGAATGCCCCCGCCGAGGCGCGGCCCACGGAAAGAGAGCGCCTTCCTCCTTCCCTCTCGTCCCTGTCTCAGAGTGAAGAAAATGTTTTCCCCAAGTTGTTCCTACTGTGCTGCCCTGGCCTCAGCCCCTCAGAGCGCTCGAAGGTCGTTGACATCAAAAAGTTTTCTAGCTGGAATCTTTGTCTGTCTAATCAGCCCTCAAGAAACCCCACTCCTAAACCACTGCTGTAGTTTTTCTACCTCTTACCTTTTATGGGTCGTTAGAAGTTGCTAGCCAAACCCAGTGTTTCCAGAAAGAAATTGTAAATATTAAATATCTTAAAACTACAGGCCTGTTATGTGGAAGAAAACCCAGTTAATTTTAATGGGCTATGGATAATCATCAGAAAAGTCATTTCTGGAAATTTAAAGAACATGGTTGTTTCTTTTAATGACACATATTCTCCCGGAAATAGACCACTGGACTGATTATGCTCCAGCATCCTGCTGAGGCAAAGGATGGGCCCAAATTCTTCGTGGAACAGAAGCCTGGGACTGGCCTGGCACACGGATTGCAAAGCTGGAAATGCTGCAACACAATGTCCTGCAAAGAAGATCAGACTTCCGCCTTGATAGGCAGACAGCTCTGATGGAAGCCCCTCAATCACAACCTATGTTCCTTGGGCCCATAATTAAGAAACTTAGAAAGACTCTTGAAACCAGCTGGAAAAGTATGCTGTCTTGCCGGCAGAGTTTCAAACAGGCTGATGATTACCATGGGTCAGCCTTGGCGTCCACGAGCCCTCATCACAGTTGATTATATGAAACGTACTTTTTGCCAGCCTCGTCAAAAGGAAATACAGTAAGATTCGGTGGGTCGATCTCATTTTCTCGAGTGCAGACAAGGCTTCACAGTGATCTGAGACTCAACTTTGTTCTCCCCAGAAGGAGCAGCAGAGTCTGTACGACCCCTCTGGCACAGCTGAGCCAGTGTTTCTGGAATCACTAACTGAGAACATTTTCCTCCCCGTGAACTGCCAGAAGTTTCTTGGGTTTATTCAAGCTAATCTGTATTCCAGAACAATTCCGGACGAGATTTGTTAGGAATACTTCAACAAGGTGCTGTTTGGTAAGTTCTGAACTGAAAGGATCTCTTTTTGTATTATACTAAGTGATCTAGTAAATGGAGCAAGAATTCTTTGAAATGAAAGCAGACCCTGAGGCTGGGGCCCAGCAGCCTGAGTTTTAACACGACCTCCAGGAGATTCTGACCTCCCTCAAGTGTGAGAACGAGGGCCCTAGGGTGCCAACTTGGGTTGTCTGATAGCTCTGGGGAGTCAGACTAGTCTAAACACAAGAAATCCCTGGGGGATTAACATGCAGGTTCCCAGGCTCCTCTTTTGTAGATCCTGATCCAGTACGTATGGGACAGGGGCTGGGGATCCGTGTCTTTAATCAATTCTCCAGTCATTTTTTTTATATTCCTTCCTACACAGGAAAACACTGCATGGAGAAATGGGGTGGCAGGGAAAAGCGTCTCACTCTGAATCACTCGGGCCTGGGCCGGTCCTAAGGTAATTGAAAAGGAATTGATTCTTAATTACCCAGCACATCGGAGCACAGGGATAGAGCATGACCTTTCGGCCCCGTGAAATGAGGAGCTCACCCTCCAGTCCAAGGAGCTGAGCATGAAGAGCCCTCACTCCACGAGGACTTGACTCACTTTAAATCAATTTGCTTCTTATTAAGATGCACTTCAATGAAAAATCATTCCAACTCTTCAGCCACAAAAGGATAGCCCATCATTTAAGGCTTCCTGAGTGTGTCAGTTGCTTAAAAAGGTTTTAAAGAGTATGGTAAATATTTTACCAGAGGGATAAGTTATTCAATAAGGAGATTATTTATTAAAAACTAGTAATTTATTAGTTCATGTATCTCTATTTTCATGAAAATGCATTCTTTTCATCTGGGCATACTTTTCTATGCCCACAGCAGATTAACCTGTGAGTTGACAATTCTGTTAATACGTAAATATAGTGAAATATAATTTAACTTGTGAAAGTAACAGGTTTTACTAGTAAGAAGACACATCTGTAAAATTACATTTTAAAAGAACTCTTGGAGGGTTTTAAGCATAGTTTCATGTACTTAAAAAGAAATCATGTTTGCTATTTTGGAAGAAAGAACAAGTTTCTCATTTATCTTTTGAGTCATCCATCCTAAAGGAAATAACTAATGCATGACTTTTTTTCTTCTTATTGGTAAGAAGGAAAGCATTTAATGCTTAGGCCCAAAGCCAAGGTATTGAGTTCAAGTATTTACGGTCAGATATTTTATTTCGATAATAAAAAAAATAAATTAGAATAGTTTTCGTTGCAAGCAATGACTAAAAATGGCTTTAACAGTAAGGATATTTAATGACCTCATAAAAAGGTCCAGAGGTAGGCAGCTCTGGAGATGTTTAATTTATTGGTTCCACACGGTCCCGACTCCAGGCCGGCTGCTCTGTACTTACCTCGACTTTCCCCTCATCCTGACACCCTGTCTCCACGCATCACATCTAGGGACCAGCCAAACACCCCTCCCAAAACCCTTTCTTCCTGTCCGCCTCTGCTGTGGGTTGAGATGTGTCCCCCCAGAAGGTATGTTGAAATCCTATCCTGGGACTTCAGAATGTGACCTTATTGGCAAACAGAGTCTTTACAGATGTAATCAAGTTAAGATGAGGTCATGCTGGATTACGATGGGCCCTCATCCAATGACTGGTGTCCTTTTAAGAAGAGAAGAGACACAGAGGGACACAGAGACAGTGCCCTGTGAGAACAGAGGCCAAGACTGGAGTGATGTGTCCGCAAGCTAAGGAGTGCTGATAACACCAGTAGCTGAAAGAAAGGCAGGGAACAGATTCTCCCTCACAGCCTCTAAACAGGAAGCCACCCCAGGACACCTTGATTTTGGACTTCCCTCTCACCTTGATCTCTGCTGGGGATCTGCCCTTTGTCCCGGAAGCTCAGAACCCTCCCTTCTTTCCTAGACCTCACTAACTCATTCAGACTATCTCTGGGTGCCTGGCTTAGCATTTTACAGCCAGCTTTTTAAAAGAAATCGTAACTGGTATATCAAGGGTTAATTTGCTTTCTAGAGGTTTGTTTTTTTTTTTTTCCTAAGCAAGAAAATTGGCAATTCAGTTAGGTCTAAAATTCATCTGAGGCTTCTGACAACTTGTTTGCGGACGTAACTGCTCTGGTGCTGGCAACTTTAGTAATCAAAGAGAAGCTTAAGAAAAACTGAGCACTGCAAAAGGAAGAGGGAAATAATAAATTAGAATTGAGTCCACTCTACCAAACGTTTTATTATGAAGATTTTCAAACATACGGCAGAGCTAAAAGAATTTCCCCAGTGAGCACCTGTATCCACACCACCTTGTTTAACACGTGATGGTACTTGCTTTATGGTAGCTCTATTCTCTTTCCATCCCTCTCCCCATCTGAGAATTAATTTTTTAATTAGATGATTACCAAATTGCTCTGGGGGCTCTTTGTAGGGAAAGTACAGAGCAGACTCTGGGCACTTACTTTCCAAGTTCATCAGCCCAGGATAGAAGCCCTTCATACCTGGCCCCCCACCCCTGTGATACTGTGATTTATAGTAAGAAATATGTATTTGGTCGTTGTCCCGTTTCTGGCTGGGATCCTAAAGCCCTTGGAATTTCCTAAGTGATAAGAGCTGTAGAGGTGTCTTGATATCCAGAACAAACCACACCTGAGTTTATGTTAATGAGGTGATTTTTGGAAACCACCTAAGGATGGGGGCTGGTTGCCAGGGGAAACAACCCTGTGATTGGAGCGTTGGAGCTCTCAGTCCCACCCCCCCCAGACTTCCAGTTGGCAAGAGGGGCTGGAGGTTGAATCTATGGCCAGTGGCCAGTGATTTAATCAATCACGCCCTGGTGATGAAGCCTCCGGTAAAAACCGGAACCGGGGCTCAGAAAGCTTCTAGGTTGGTGAAGCAGAGGGGAGAGTGGTGCACCTGGAGAGGGCATGCAGGCTCCCTGCCCTTTTCCCACACCGCGCCCTATGCAGCTCTTCTGTCTCGATATTATCTATGAAGTAAAATATCTTGCTGAGTTCTCTGAGCCGCTGTAGCAAATTAATCAAACCCGAGTAGAGGGTCATGGGAACTTCTGGTTATAGCCGTTAGGCCACAGGCACAGGTAACCAGCTGGACCGTGACGGGAGCCTGAAGTGGAGAGTGGTCTTGCAGGACTGAGCCCTTCACCTGTGGAGTTCGATGCTGCCTCTGAGTAGATGGTATCAGAGTTGACTTGAAGTACAGGACACCCAGCTGCTGTCGGGGGATTGCTTGGTGTGGAAAAACCCACATGTTGGGAGTTGGAGTCTGAATCTTACCCCTCTCCCCGCTGCACCTCAACCAACACATTTCTCTGTTCATTGCCCCTGAAATATGTCCCCAACCCAACCTGCATCTCTGCCTGGTAACCTCCTATTCAACGTTTAAGACCCAATTCAACTATTCCCTCTCAGAAAAAAAAAAAACCTCCGTTCTCTCAAAGAGAGGTAGTCGTCTTCTTCTGTGATCCCCAAAGTATTTTGAACATGCCTTTAACACTTGTCACATTGTCCTCAAACTCCTTGCGTGTGTCTGTCTCCCCCACTGTCTGAGGGACCCTGGGGGCCTCTGGGGACTTTATTGTATTATCTTGAAGTTCCCTTTGGTGCCTGCCACAAGTCCTGGCACGTTGCAGGTATGCAGGTGCTAGGCAGATGGACCGCAAGAGAGCTAGCTGGAACTCTCTAAAATAAACTAAGTAGCCCCACTTGTAAGTATGCAAACCTACTTAGAAGTGTCATGTCAGAATTTAAGTCCAAGCTGCCTTGTCCCTCCTGTCATCGCTCCCATTAAGTGGACCAGCCTGAAAGCTCACATACATGTTAGTGAAGATGCCCACCGTGGCCCTTGTTCTTCTGTGTAAAGGATAATTCCGCCACAACTAGAAACATGAAACAGTATAATGTCTGAGCAGGTGTTTCCTACCGAGTGTATAAAAATAGCTGCTTCTCAAAACCAAACAAAGTTCAGTGGTTAAGCTGGGGAAACACCGAACTAAGCAAAGTGCACAGGTTTCTTTTCTACAGTATTTCTCAGAACTTTCAGTCCAACGTGAATTTCAAGCAGCTGGGGAGAAGGGTTTCCAGCACAGAGCCCTTTTGCGAAGCGTGGGAAGGCCGGCTGCAGCGACACGCCGTGGAAGACCCCGCTCTCTCTCAACTCTGTTTACCTGTTTTGCTTCCTACCCCTTGACCACCATCACGTCCTGCATTTCAGGCTTAATGTTGAATTTCTCATCGTAAATATTGTGCCAAACGTGGAGGTGATGGAGTTACACTGGGCTTTGCTATCTTTCGGTCTGGACATAGCCCGTCGTTCAGCTTAACTCAGGGCATCTGGTGTGGCACCAGTCAGCAGGAGGCCGCCGGGAGAGGAAGGTTCCAGGCACCCACTGAGATGTGTCATTGTTGCGAAAGAAACCTGTCCTCAAAAAGAATCTGTGTTATCAACATCCAAAGCCTTAAGGAAGCCAGTACTGCCATTGGAATCCCTGGGGAAATGCCCATGACAGATGTGCGGTTTAGAAAGAGCACTGCTGAAGGCGATAGGGCACTGGGTTTGGAATGAAGCCGATCTGGTTTGAAGCCCAACTCTCACTGCAGGACTGGCTGCGTAACTGGCAGGGCCCAGTGCAAAATGGAATGCGGGTCCTTTGTTCCGAAGCTATTAAGAATTTCTAAGGGGATGGGGGTCCCTGAGCCCAAAGCCCTGTGCACAGGTTACAGGCCACGAACCTGGCCCAGGCTTATCGCTCACAACCTTGGGAAAATCATTGGACCACCCCAGCGTCCCGACTCTCATTTCTGTGAAGGGATTGCTGTGCACATCCCAGTGAGACCATGGATGTGCAGTGCTGGGGGGCAGGGGGCTCATGTACCCATTTGGTGGGCGAAGGGAAGGAGAGAGAAGAGGGGATGGGAGGTAGGTGAGTGTGAGTGGAGACCCCGTCTCCACCCACAAGTTGAAAGATGAGCCTAGTGTCCAGACCCAGCCTAAGAGCCGCCCCAGACCTCTAGCTGCAGTCAGCCCCTGGAGTCGGGCAAGTCCCCAAACTCAAGAGAACTATTCACAAGAAGGTATGGCCGGGAGCCTGCATGATTTACTGCTAATTCTCAAAACTAAAGCAAACAAAGCCCCAAGAAATACGGCCTACCCATGACCTTCAGCGTGAGACCAGAACAATAAACAGGTTAAAGCAAAAGGCACCTGACCCACGTGCAATGAAGAGGCAACATGAAGTAATCGCTTTCCTGGGACCTATAACCCAATTCCCACGCCCTCCTCTATCCCCGGATGAGGAACTTGAGAGCCCTCCCTGCCTGCCTTTCCCAAGCCTGGAAAGAGGAAGCGCTTGATGGGCACTTCCTCACACAGTAATTCATTTGATAGCCACAGTGACCTGGAGGCATTTTTATATATTCATTTGTTTGTAAACAGAAGAGTCAATGACACCCCCGAGCTAATTCTAGGATGTGCTGGCTCTTTTCCACCCCAGGGCCTTTGCATGTGCTGCTGCTTTTGCCTGAGATGCTATTCCTCCGCTCCACTCCTTACCTAGCGGACACCTATGTCTACTTAAATCTCAGCTCAAACGTCACTCCTCAGGGAGACCTTTTCAAATCTTGCAGACCTTGCCCTGTTTATCACTTTCATAGTGACCTGTCCTTACCTTTCAGAGCTCCTCTCATGGTGTGTAGGTATATCTGTGGTTATCTGATTAACGTCTTTCCCTCTAGTCTGTAAGCACCAAGAAGGCAGGAACTCACCATTTTGCACACAACTGACTCTCCAATGTCCTGGACATTGCCTGACCCACACCCATGAATAGGTATTCACTGAATGAGTGAATAAGCTTGCCCAACATCACACAGCTAGTATGAAGCAGAGCTGGCATTCAACCCAGATCGCCTGACCCCTAAGTCAGTCCACGTCCCCACTTTATCTTGTTGCCAAATAGGAGAAAATATCCGTTACAAATAGGATAAAGAAAATCACTTTTTTCTTTTTCCATGATAAAATTTTCCACTGTATTATGTCATGTTTTCTTGAACCCATACAAAAACATGAGCCTGCCCTCAGAGACAAAGCCCACTTTCTATGCCTTCTCTGCCTTCAAAACATTAATAAATAAAAAAAGTTATAATAAATAGATGAGCCAGGCGAAGAAGTTGTTGAAAGTCGCAGCTGCGGAGGAGCAGGCGGCCGGATCCCAGAGTCCCAGAAACACAAAGGATTCTAGAGGTCGTCTGGTCCCCCATCACGGCTCTAAAGAGGGGGAACGGAGGCACAGAGAGGTTAAGTGACCTGCCCCAAACCACACAGCTAGTTAATCCAACGTGAATCTCCTACTCTCAGACATATGCTCTTCCCACTTTCTGTGTTTCTGCAGCCAGATTGCAGCAGATGCCTTTTTGGTAGCTCAAGAAGATGCTTGCCTTGTTAAGCCCTGCCCAGCTGTGCCACCTCCTGCTTTCCTATCGCAGGGGAAGGACTACTGAGTGTCTAATGTCTTATTTGGGTTCCCCCAGCAGTGAACCCTAAGGTGTAAGTATGTGAGAGGTGAAAGAAACACATCAGGGACTGGGAAAATGAGGCAGAGAAGGGAACGCAGCTGATAAAGGGTGGGTTGTCAAGCCAGCTTCCACTGTGGGCACCACGGCTTGGTACCCCTGAGGCACTCTGGGAACCAGTCTAGGGCGTGCCTCAGACTTATCCCCCAAGGGGTAAGGAGGCTGGAATATTTATATACCAACTTCCATCAGCCATTGCTTGAGCCCTGCTGGGGGCGGAGGGAGTGGGAATGAAGTGATGTTAATTCACTGGCATTTGTGGCAACAGAGGTTCCAGGGGCAAAATAAAGCTCTCAGGCGAAGAGCTGAAGGTTGCTGGCAAGTCGGGGGGTCAAGTGGCAAAGGTGGGCGATATGGGAAGGGCACTATGGTGACTAGAATTGTGTCCCCCCAAAAAGGTATGTTGAAGTCCTAACTTCTGCTACCTATGGGTGTGAGCTTATTTGCAAATAGGGTCTTTGCAGATGTAATCGAGTTAATAGGGGGTCATAATGGATTAGGATGGCCTGAAGTTGAAGGACTGGGGTCCTTATAGGAGGGAAATTGGGACAGACACAAAACACCCAGGGAGAGGCCACATGAGGATGGAGGCAGAGATTGGTGTGATGCAGCCACACCAAGGAACGCTAAGGATGCCCAGAGCCACCGGAAGCTGGACGAGCCAAGGAAGGACCCTCCCTCAGCAGTTGCAGAGGGAATGTGGCCCCGCTGGCATCTAGATTTCAGATTTCTGGCCTCCAGAATACGAGAGAACACGTTTCTGCTGCTGTGAACCCTCCACATTGTGTCACTTTGTTGAGCAGACCCAGGAAATGATTACAGGCCCCCTACATCACACCAGTCGACTATTGGTGATTAAAATTCCCTCGCAGCTCCCACCGCTTGAAAGACACTCCGTGCATGGCCACACAGCGGTTGGCAGAGCCAAGATTTGTACCCAGGTGTGGCTGCCCCTGAAAGCCATGGGATAAGTTTCTCTCCTTTTCTCCAGTCGACCTTCCCCCCCAGCTTAGTAACCAAGAAAGCTGAGCTGACACTGCCAGCGTCCTCCTTAGCAGGCCAGACGGCAGACAAATCCAGAATATTCCACGTGGTAATCATTTTAATGCTTCAAGCCCGTTGAGGCGGAGACCTTTCTAATACTCAGTACTCGGTTGACGGAATGAGGGAAAAGGCTGGGACCTTTGTACTGAAGATACGGAAAGGTCAGGGGAGAGACAAATGGCAGAGCCGGACACTGCACAGCGGTCCCCTTGCTGCAGCCAAGGCCCCTGCGCAGACCACCCTTCCTCCCCAGCCGACTGCCCCTCCTTGGCCGGTGTTACCGGTTGGGGGCACAAGCATAGGAAAGAAGCTGCTCTGCCCTGCCTATTATGGGACGGTCAAGACATACTGGTTCCTGGGCTGACACCAGGCCCGTCAACATCAACAAGAGGGAATAGGAGGCTCGGCCTCTGATGAAAGGAGAACCCATGTGGCCTGGCGTAGCTGCTCCCTCAGAAATGCCAGGTCAAGTTGCACTTTAGTGTAAGGAATCCTGGCTTCTTTTTACAAGCCTCCATTTCTGTATGACTCCAGAAGTTCCAGGGAGGCAACAGCAGCCTGGGAAGGAGGAGAGAATTCAACTCCTAAGCACCCCGCAGGACAGAAGTTTGAGGACAGCACAGATGGTTTGGCCAGGCCCGTGGACTGTGGAGAAATGAGCACTCGGGGACAGCCAGGAGGCAGAGGCAAGCGGAGATCACGATGTCAGCCTGCAGGGAGAAGGGTGAGGGATGAGTTAATATCTTTCCTTTGTACATTTCTTTATTGTTTGAATTTTATAACGGTCATATTTATGCATTACTTCTAGAATCATCTTTCTTTCTTTGTATTTAATTCCTTGACAAGCACGAGGGCCCCTACTGTTCTCCCGTGGTAATGGAGCTGCAGGGATTGGCGGGGAGAGGAACCCTGACAAGGTATTAGTTCCAGGTCCCTGAAATGACGGAGAAATCCGTACTTTAAAGGAGCATCTGGTTACTTCTACTCTGCTCTGTGGTAGCCTGGCCAAGGGGATGGGCAGTCCAAGGTCACAGCCACCACGAGCAGCCCTAAATAGCTGGTTGCTTGGATTCGCGCTCCAGTTCTTCACTCCCTTGCTGAGCGCTGGGGGTCACATCCACCTACCGGACCCGCGGGGGGCGTGGCGCTACCCACGCTCTGCGGCCGGCATGGCCACGTGACTTGCTGTGGCCAATGGGAAGTGGCGCCGGGCCTCTGCACGAGGGGCGTGCCGGGACGTGCGGCACCAAGCCGACCGCACGCGGACAGTGAGACTTGGGAGCCTTTTCCTGCCAACCTAAGCACGAGACGGGGAAGCCGAGGCCGAGGCTCGGCGCCACCGCGTACCTGGCGTGCAGGTGTGTGTGTGCGCGTGTGTGTGTCTGTTGTTTACCCGCGGTTAGGCTCGTGGGTTAGATGGCGGCACCTGCGATCACCTTGAATGATGTGAGAGCCGGCGCTGAGCTGCTGCTGCCCCACGGACGCTGGCAGCGCCCTCAGGTGACCTCGTTGGGTCACGTGACAGGGCATGCCTGGTCCTCAGGTGGCCTGTGGACCCTGAACACTCAGCCATTTATTCACGGAGTATAAGTGGTCCCGGGCGCCGGGCCTCTGAACTTTCCCTATGTATAGGCATAATGGGGACCTGGAAGAAAAGTGGCATGGACCCCAAGATACCAAAGGGAGATTGTGAAGACCAACACGTGTTTAAGTAAATATTGTCAACTGAAAAAAAATGCACAGGGCTTCCCTGGTGGCGCAGTGGTTGAGAGTCCGCCTGCCGATGCAGGGGACACGGTTTCGTGCCCCGGCCCGGGGAAGATCCCACATGCCGCGGAGCGGCTGGGCCCGTGAGCCATGGCCGCTGAGCCTGCGCGTCCGGAGTCTGTGCTCCGCAACGGGAGAGGCCACAGCAGTGAGAGGCCCGCATACCGCAAAAAAAAAAAAAAAAAAGAGTGAGAGTTGTGAGTTAATTTTTCATTGAGGCAGAATGAGTATAGCCCAGGAGACAGCATTTCAGATAGCTCTGAGAGAGTGCTCTAAAGAGGCTGGGGGGAAGGTCAGTGTATGCGTGACTTTGGTGAAGGGGGGACACGCAATCAAGCACAGATTTCTGCAGAAGGTTGCTGCTAGTCACGAGCTGATGTCACCATATGTGGTTTTAGTGATTTTCTGCGTATAAGGGGGCGCGAGAACTGGGCTCATAAAATCTCCTGGAAGTATCTAACTGTTGGAAGGCCTGTTGTGCCAGCTTTTCCCAGAGCCCAGAGTGCCTCGTTCCTGATCTCCTTTCAGGGGGTGTGGAAGGTCCGGACTCACAGCAGCCTGTGACTGCATCCTTGTAGAGGCAGACGGCCAGTGCCGATTTTTAGTTGGCAGTATCTATGAAATGTCTCATTGCGCCAGCTTTGTGAATGGTTGAGGTAATATGCTGAGAACGTCACTGCATTTGAGGGTAAGTTGCAGCTTTTGTTTTCTCACGTCACAAAACTTCCCAAGTGTGCGGGATACCTGCTGAGAGCTCATAGCCAGCTGTTGACTGAGGCACTGATGGTGGAATTATTTTGTTAGGAGGGCTTCAGCGGTGACTATCAGGCCCCCTTGATGCTCCATGAAACAGGTGGGGGCTGTTTTTTCTCACACAGCAGTAAGTCAGGAAGGGGTCAGTTCCCTCTCCTGTATGTTTGGCTGGAGACAGTCATGTCGTTCCTGAACCAAATACTGCGAATGCGAATGAGATTGGCTTTATTTATTAAATGAAACATTTACTCTGTGTCAGGCATCATGCTATGCACTTTACAGTACTAACTCAATCCTCTTGAAGCCCTATAAGAAGGGTGTAATTATTATCCACACTTTACAGATGAGGAAACTCGGGCCCAGAGAAGTTAGGCTACTTGGGCAAGGTTGCACAGCTTGTAAGTGGAAAAGCTGGGATTTTCGTCTAAGCCAGCTGACTCCAGAATTTCCGCCCACGCTCTACTGTCTCTCAGTGCCCTCGGATGGTACAGACACATCCTGGAGCCAGGGGTGGGAGCAGCTTCTCCTGAGGGGTGTCTGCTTTGAGGATGGGGTACCTGCTGAATGGAATCACAATACCTTTAGGAAGGAGAGCTGGGACGAATGCCCAGTAGGTCCCAACAGTGGTCTCTCCCCTCTCTCTCCTCCCCTTCATCTCTTTCTCGCCTCCCTCCGGGTCTGTGCTTGCATAAAGTGGACAGCTAAAAACTAGTAATTACTCCTCTCCCATGATCTGTGACCCTTGTCATCCCTCTGCCCTTTCCTCTCACTTTCTTCTTCTCGCTCTTTGAGTCGTACTGTGAAATGACTTTTGCAATGTCAGCCATAAATAGATTATGAGAAGAAAATCTTTTGTTTAAACAAATTCTAATTTTCCAAAAGGTGGTGAATAAACACTCCAGGATGCATTAGAGATCAGCAAATCTTGTTTGTGCAAAATCACGCTTCAATTTCTTTATATAAGCAGAAAATAGCGGTTCTGACGACCTTGCCAGAAGCGTCTTTGTGTCAAAGGGTTGGTCTCACCATTTCAGTTTGCGTTGCTCAGAAGAGGCTGAGCCTTCCCATCCGGGTGGGAAAACGCTTCTCATGGAACCAGGTGGGTCGTAGGCTTGCCCAGGGGCATTAAGCGGCTCGTTCCTCCCATTCTACTGCAAGCGCCCAATCCCTTCAAATGAACACATTTTTAAGGGTGAATTATAAAGCGCCTTTACCAAGGAGGAGAAACACCCATGGCCTGGGTGCAGGAGGACTGAGCCCCAGGCTTGGAAGAGCTCTCGGTGGCTGTGCAGTTTTTGCTGCTGTCAAAAGCAGAATGTTCCTCTCAGCACCCTTCACCGGTGTCTCCAGAGACTGCTTAAGCCACAGGCCAGAGAGGGTCTTCAGTGACGCTTCAGGGTGGATGTCACAGAAGCCACCACGGCCACATCAGCAAAACGGGGGGTTATTATAAGGGACAGGCTATCCTCATGGACGTGAGGGCGGGCAGCGTTCCAGTTACTGGCACTGCATGACACATCACCCCAAAACCTAGTGGCAAAAAACAACCACTTTTTTAATGCTTGAACGTTCTTTGGTTCGGGAATTGGGATGGGGCGCGCCAGCAAGAGCGTGTCGCCGCTCCGTGGTGCCCAGGGCCTTCTCCGGGAGGCTCGGACGCTGGCGGTCTCGTCTCTCAAGTGGCTGGTGGTTGATGCTGGTGGCTGCCTGGGACCTCGGCTGGGACTGCCAAGGGAGCGCTTACATGTGGCTTCTCCCTGTGGCCCGGGCTTCCATGAGGAGGTGTCCCAAAGATCTCCAACTGCAGGGAGGGGGACTGCCCCACAGACTCAGCTGCCGCCTCCTGAAAGCCATTGCCACGTCTGTACCGAGGCCACACTTGCCATGGCCACGCTGTGCCCAGCCAGTGACGGAGTGTGGCAGAGACACTGAGCCTGGTCCACTCCTGGAGAACGCAGGCTCCACTGACGGAGACCCTGGCTGGGGGACTCCCTGACAGACCTGCCGAGCCTTCCCTGAATGGCTCTCTGGGGGAGCAGAACCCCCCCTCCTTAGGTGTAGGCGGCACAGAGCGACCTTCCCAAGAGCAACTGTACAGTGGAAAAACCAAAGAAATCGAGGTCAGCATCAACAGTGATAAGTCATGTTGATCATACGTACCCTTCCTTGATACTGATGTGACGAGAAAGACACTTTACCTCTGAAAGTCTTGGTCCCCAAAACTCATCACCAAACTCTTACCGTGAGAATAACATCAAACAAATTCCGAAACGGGAACATTCTACAAAATACCCATCCAGTGCCGCTCAAAACTGTCAAGGTCATCAAAGCAAGCAAAGTCTGAGAAACTAGGATACGGGTTATAAGAAAGTCCAGGTCTAGCGGGGAGGAAGATTTACAGGAGCAGAAAGAATTGGGCTGGGCAAAGGAGTGAGGAAAGATGGGCACAGAAATTGGTCATTGCGAGCGAGGCTCTCAGCTCGAGAGGTCCTGGAGCTGCTGGCAACTCAGAGGAGACATCTGTGGCTGGAGCCCCAGGCCACCCGCAGTGTGCTGGCCTCACCCTGGGGCTGGTGACCCGATGGGGGCCCTCCCTCCAGGCATCACATCCACGTACATCAGTATCCAGAGGAGAGAATATCAACACCTCCAGTACCTTTTTCTTAGCAAGGAGGAAACTGTCCTCATGGCCCATTGGACCATCCACTGCAGTGAAAACAGGGCTACCCTGATTGGCTGCGACTAACCAGAATCTACCCCTGGGGTGGAGATGGGATCACCCTCTCTTTCGTTTTTCGGGTGTTCTTAGCAAGGAGGGTGACAGTTGCCGGATTGGTACCAAACTACATCTGCCACCCAGAGCTGGAGTGGATGCCGGAAGAGCCCTGGGAGGCTGCACTGGCGCAGGCAGGGGTCCAGACAAGGGATCGTGGTGCCTTAGACGAGCAGTGGACACGGAGAACCGGATGAATCAGATGTGTATTTGAGAGGTGGAATCAACAGGAGTTTCTTATGGATTGGATAGCTTGGTGCAAGAGGTGAATTCTTTATATGGGTTCAGTATTATACGGTGGTTTTCTTAAATTCAATTTCGTAGTGATCACACCCCAAAACCACAGAAAGCACTGTTCTGTTATAAGTGTGAGCCTTCCGAGAGGAGTGATGGCATTCTCTGTGAGTAACGTAACATGAAATTCCGTAAGA